CATATTGAATAAATAAACTAAAGGCCTATGGCCCGATTTAACAATAAAATTAGTTCCGTAAATGTATGGTCGAAATTGTTTGATTGCAAAATAGATTGCTAAAAGTTCCAATTCTATAATTGGTTTTTTTCTGTTCGGCTTTATTAAATGCTTTAGAAGCGAAACAAATAGGTAAATCACTCCCTTGTTGCTCTTGGCTCAGTATAGCACCGCACCCAATTTTTGAGGCATCGACAGTAATAATAAATTATTTTGTGAAGTCCGGGTATTGTAGAAGTTTTGGTGAAACTAATGCTGATTTTAGCGACTCAAAAGCTTTATCACACGCACTGTCCCAAATAAACTCAACTTTTTTCCTGCCTAATTGATTTAAAGGCGCTGCCAGAGACGCAAAATTTGGTATAAACCGTCTGTAATAATTAGCAAATGCGACGAATCGTCTAACCGCGTCTTTGTCAGTCGGTTTTGTATATTTTTTAACTGCATTTATTTTGGTGTCATCTGGCAACAGACCTTTGGCTGAACATTTATGGCCTAAGAATGTAACTTCTGGCCGGAGAAAATTTCATTTATTTGGGTTGAGTTTTAAGTTGAAAGCTCTGCATGTATTGAAAACTTTTGATAGATTTTTTATGTGGTGTGCCTCGCTACAACCAATTACGATTATATCGTCGACGTAAAGAAATGCCACATTGGGAGGAATACCGGAAAAAGCAATTGTCATCATTCGTGAGAATGAGTTTGGTGCTACGTTTAAACCAAACGGTAACACTTTCCACCTAAATGCTCCTCGGTCGGTGCTAAAGAATGTTACGTCACGAGAGTCAACATGCAAAGGGATTTGATGAAATCCTGAAAAGAGGTCTAAAGTTGAAAAATACTTCGCTCGGCCAAGGTTGTCTAAAATGTCATCTATGCTCGCAAGAGGGAACTTTTCGGCAATCAGTTTCTTATTAACAGCACGGAAATCGACGCACATGCGGTACGCTTTTTGACCATTAGTGTCTTTTTTCGGAACAACAATTAAAGGGCTATTATAATTCGAGTAACTTTCTTCGATTAATTCATTTTTTAATAACTTATTAACTTGACGGTTGATTTCCTCACGCTGGGAATATGGTAAACGGTAATTTTTACTGTAAACTGGGTTGTTGTCTGTCAATCTTAGTTTTTGTTCGTAGAAGTGGTTTAATGTCATTTTGTCGTCCTGAAGTGCAAATATATCTGCGTAATCTACGCACAAGTTGAGCAATTCGCTTTCAGCGTAACTAGGAATTTGTTTTTTCAAAGTCTTAATCAGTTATTTTGTCCGGTTGTCATCGTTTCTTGTCTTATTAATGGAATAAACATAGAAATTAGAGAGTTTTTGAGTCCGGATGTTACAGTTCTTTACGTATTTTATGTCACTTGTGGTAGTTATGACTTTGACGATTGGGTTACTTGTACTAATTATGCACCTTGCCGTGAATACACCGTTATCAATTTCTTGTGACTCCACAAAAAGTGGTTCCGGTGAACTTCCTAAATTAAAAAGTCGAAAAACTTCGAATCTGCGTGGAATTACGCAGGTATCGCTTTCAGTTCCGTGAAGAATCGGAATCGCGACTTTTTTGTTACCTACCCAGAAGGAGATGCAATTGCTCGCATACCCGATAACGCATCTATTGGTTTTCAAAAAGTCTTTACCCAATATACCGTCTGCAGGGATGTTAAACTCGTCATTAACTACATGTACCGTATGTTTTATTAAAAAGTCAGAAAAAGTTAAATTTGTCGTAATTTTACCCAGAGTGGAAACAGTGTTCGAAGTAACGCCCGTGATGCGGATGATATCATTTGAATCAATTGGAAAATTTTTGTTAAAACTTGAAATTTTAATTAAAGAAATGTCGGCTTGCGTGTCGACCAAAAATGTGCATAATTTATTTGACCCGGAAACTTGCAATTGAATAAAATCTGAATAATTTAGATTTAAGCAGTAAATGCACGGACATTTGCAGTTCTACCCCTATTCTTTGAAGATCTGCTATTATTGGTGTTGTTCCTATTGTTACCTCGATTATTGTTAAAACGGTTATTGTTGTTGCCACCTTGGTAGGTGTTTCCGTTAGCGGGTGGTTAGCGCTGATTTCCATTGCCTGAAGAAAACCTGTTCCTATAACCAGTAAAATTGCGACTTGGGTTATAATTAATGTGACCAACCGTACTTCTTTCGGAAGTACAGTACTTCTTTTTTCGCACTTGTACTTCGTACTTCGAAATGTACTTCTTTGCGATATTTTGTACTTCGGGAGGTAGATTTTGTAACCAGTTAGTGAAAATTTTCGGATCGCTATCGCACTTTTTGATGTATGATATAAAAGTTTTTGCGTAAAAAAGCGCGATAGCGATTCGAAAATTGTCGCTAACTGGTTACAGAATCTCCCCCAGGTCCTGTACTTCTCCGCTCTTCTGGACGATCGTCACATGTTCTGGGCGATAAATTCGTTCAAACCTTTAAAGTCGCCGGGGACCTACGGCATCATACTAGCGCAGCTGCAAAGGGCTCTGAAGGTGTCGAACAATTGGTTGGATCCTATTTATGCGAACTGCATGGGGACCGGGTACATCCACAAAGCTTGGAGTGTAGTCAGTGTTGCGTTCATCCCGAAGGCCGAAAAAGGCTCTCACGATTCCCCTAGGGATTTTAGGCCTATCAGTCTCTTCGGTTTTGCTAAAAACGCTAGAAGATTATGCAGTAGGGGCCTTCTTTGATATCGAGGGGGCCTTCAACAATGCCACTCCAGAGGCAATAGTCAAATATATTCATAATCTGGGGTTTGAAACCATCCTAATAAGGTTTATCTTCAGCTTACTTCGTGACAGAACTGTCGCGGCGGAGTGGGGGCGCGTCTGCACTCAGTCAATAGGAGCACTCCATAAGGTGGGATTCTCTCTCCCCTGCTCTGGATTACACTTGTAAATGACCTTCTAGAGGAACTTGAAAAGTGGGCTATCGGTTGATCGCCTATGTAGATGACATGGAAGATTTGGTTAAGAGACGATTATATATATACCCTTTTTGATTTGGCTCAAGGTTCTGGCTCAAAGCGCTCAAAGTTTTCCATGTATTTTTATATGGGAAAAATAAATGTTTTCGTAGAAATGGTATAGAATTCTTCAAAGTATTTTTCGATCGGAAAGTTCTGGTTCTCTTAAGGAGACTTTCAATAATAATACCCAATTGTTTATTTAACAATTTTTAATACCAACGATTTTTTATTGGTCGCCCCATTGCATTTTTCGGGGTTTTTGGCGGACCTAGACATTATAGTTGCAATAAAAAAATTGTTAAATAAATAATTGGGAATCTCCTGCAGATAAGCAGAGTTTTCTGGTAGAAAAATATTGATTTCTAACTATTCTATATTCTATATTTCTACGAAAAGTTGTTTTTTTCCCATATAAAATACATGGACAACTTTGGGCGCTTTGAGCGACCTGTAAATATTGTTTTGATTTCAAAATAAAAAAAATGAGGGTATATTTTTTCGGTATAGAAATATCCGAGAGCATAAAAATTCTGAATTTACTTTTTCACATGCATTTTTGGCCCACCCTACTGTCCAAACTTCGCGAGGCTAAGATGGAAGCATTTTGGCTCGCACTTCTGAACAAACACTGAACTCTCAGGGATCGAAATTAGCCGCATTCGAAGTTTTGTAATCGGCTCGCGGCGTTAACTTAACCCAACCTAAGCTGTACTTCTTTGAGCTATGAAAAAGTTGGTCACATTAGTTATAATCATATATGTAATACTTCTATATTGGCAGTAAGCTAACTTCTCAATGTGTAAGCATTCCGAAATCAAAGCGAGACAGTCTAGTACCGTTTTTGTCAATGTATTGTATACTTGAGTGCCGTTTTTGTATATGTGTTGTTTACATGTTTATTTATAAACGTGTGTGTTCCTTTTCTTTCGTACGTGTTTATTGATATATCTGTACTGTAGTGTTTTCGGACGGTACTAGCTCTTACTGCCAATATAGGAGTATTACATATATGGTTATAATTACTATGCCCACGGAAACTACCACGAAAATTTCTGAAAAAGTTACTACCATGTGTGCGATATGCTAAAACCTGACGCTCTTTTACTTCGTTATTTTGCTCCACTATCAGCTTGGCTACTACGTCTTTGGAATCGGAAAATGTTGTGGAAGCAAGTATCGACTTAACTAGATCCGACTTGGCATCTAATCGACAAACATTTACGGTTTGCTCAACGGCCATTTCGTGAGCTTTCTGTTGAGTCATTCCTTCAATAATTAAGGAACGCTCTAAAGAGTCGGCCAGTTCTTCTACGCGTTTAGCAAAATCTGTATAGTTATTATTGTTGACGTGTAACGCCGAAATTCTTCCTGTGACAACTTTGGAATTATCAGGTTTAATCCTTCCACGTAGAGCAATTTTGATGCCATTAACTGACAGTATTTGCGTCGGTAATGCTTCAACGTACTGGTTAGATTTTCTTCAGCTAGGTCTTCTATTAAGCTTATTTTATCAAGAAAAGAATCGAGCGCTAACGGATCCCCACTATAATTTTCTCTAATGATGAACAAGACTAATAAATGACTTTTTCTGTTCGATGGTAGCCATTTTGTAAAAACTTTTTGAAAAATCGGTAATATCAGGTGAGCTGGTAGCTGCTGGTGGAGCGTTATTTACAAATAATGAGTGCTTTAAATCTGGAAGTGATGAGCTTCTTTTGATAAAAAAACCTAGCGATTCCGAATCAACTACGTTCGTTCGGCATATAAGACTTAACGCATCCTACGGAATTGGAATCTGACAATTTAACCTAACAAAGCACTTCACTAGTAGCTCCTTGCAACGTGATAACTTTGCTTGCACT